AGGGCGAGTGTCAGGAGGAAGGAGCCAAGTTATTCTCAGTGATGTCCAATGATAAGACAAGGAGCAATGGGTAGAAGCTGGAGCATAGGAGGTTCCATGTGAACATAAGGAAAAACTTTTTTACTGTGAGGGTGACAGAGCACTGGAACAGGCTGCCCAGAGCAGTTGTGGAGTCTCCTTCTCTGGAGACATTCAAAACTCGCCTGGATGCATTCCTCTGTGACCTGGTCTAGGTGATCCTGCTCTGGCAGGGGAGTTGGACTAGATTATCTTTCAAGGTCCCTTCCTACTCCTAATATTCTGTGATTCTGTGATAATCTATTTTTTTTCTGAATCATCTTGTAAATATAAAATTGGTTACTGCTAAAATCACCTTGTACTTTCAATTAATCTTAAATTGCAGTGAAATCATAACCATGTGAATACTTCATCTGCGACAACATGTAAGAACAAAACAAATATAATTTTAACCCTTCCTTTATTCCAGTACCCTTAAGAGAAAAGGTACTCATGGCAGCACTCAATTCAAAAGCAAAGTATAAATCAAAGTCGGTGTCAATTTAAGTCCTTAAGGCACCATTAAGATCAGCATTACTTGATTCTTCAGTCTTGTGTAACTTAATATAGAATCTGCATCAAACCACAGTTTCAGTCTTCTCACATCTCCGTCTCCTTCTCCCTCTCTCAGCATTACAGAGCTAATTATGACTGACTGAAGAGAAACAGCCTCCAAATTGGGCCCTGCCATGAACTGTATAGAGAGGCATTATGATAAGTGAAATAGGACATTCAGTCCTTAGACACATTCATGTTTGTTGCTGTAATTTAGATGGCACTTAACTATTCCACACTTCTGTAGTTCCCATGCTATGTTCTGCTTTCCCTCTGGCCTAACAAGAATCCATGGAGTTTCCATCCTCAAGATCAGAATTACAGAAAACATTCATCCTAGAATGAACTGCCAACAAAACACTTCCCCATAAGTCAGTAACATATTTAACCTTCAACTCTCAGGAAGAAAGCTCCTTCAGAACCCTGATCACTTGCAAGGGTATCAAGAGTTTCTCTCAGTGTTATACAAGTTCTGACTTACTTTGGCTTTTTGGAAAAATAGACGAAAACAGCCTCTTGGATCCACATTACAACTTCTGGCCATTTCTATAATAAACTGCATCACAACTGCTTGGTGTGCTATTTGTTCCATCAGGGCTCTTTTCTGAAAAGAGAAATTACATAACTACAAAAAGTATATTTAAAAGTCTAAAATTCAGCAACATCTTTGCATTTGATTTCTAAAGAGAAAAGAACCGATGCTGACAGAAGCAAAGGGACTGTTAATTAGCTGAGAATAGATCTAATGTAGTAAAGTGTTTTGGAGGCTTTCTTCAATAAGATAACATGGACATGGGAAGACAAGGAAAAGAGTAATTAAATGGCTCATCAATTTGGACAGCTTTTCTGTAGTGTAAGTGGGAAACTGCATACTTTTAAGCAGTTTAAAGTTCTTCCTATTACCTGTTCGGCTTCTAGATGAAAACACCATAAGATGAGAAATTTAGCTGTTTCTTCACATACAAGATACGGGTGGTCAGACAAAAATCTTTGACTGTCATCCCATCTGCTCAGCATACCTAAATAAAAAAAAAACAAACCATCAACATGAATTAACAAATTTAATATGGAGAAGTGATTTAATGCAGTGTTATTCAAATTTACACAATATCCTTCACACTTCATTGTTACTTCAGAACAGCATGCAAATAAAACTGAACTCAAATTTTTTGTTGTTTTTAAAACATCTCCCAATGCTGAAAGAGCATTACCAATAAGATATGCTCAGACTGTAAAGATACTGAAATATAGTTAGCTGCTACTGTTAAGACCTTATTTTTATTGTATCTCTGGCAGCATTAAAAAGAGGTTAACTGTAAATGGTTTTCACACACTGAAACAAAGTAATATCTATATAATTTTTTAAGAATTTGATAGCATAAGTTGATGGACGGAGATTTACATTCAGTGATTTTGACAGAAAAAGTTCTTAAGTGCTTGCAAGTAAGACAAATAGAAATGGAAGCATAATCATAGTCTAAAACAAATATGCTTCTGACATGGTTTGTTAGGTTTTAGGAAATACAAAGCTATTGATATAACCAAGTTCAAGCATTAAGGTCAAAACAGGAGAGGCAACTCAGCAGTTGAAAGTTAACTAGAAGACTTAATTGTAGCAAGTTGCATGAAACTACCTTCATGGAAGATGCTGCGGGCTGAAAGTCAGAACTCAAAATTCAAGCAGTGAGATCATTTTATTCGCCCTCCTATTGTCCTTCCCATGAGTTAATTGCCCTAATATACATATTAGTGATATTTTACTGCTTGCCAGTACTACATACAAAGTTTTACCCTTCTATCACTCATATAAATGTATCTTTAAAAATAAAAGTTTGGTTCCATCTCTACATGGTCTTAACAGCTGTTTTGCAGATATTTACCTTTTATCATTCACCCCCCTCATGGATTAACAGACAGCAAAAGCCAAGCTATTTATAGCAGGCAGGTACAGACAGTCCCATGCACTTTTATGTGGAGGAATTGAATCTCCATAAACATCCCTATCATTTCCCATGAAACAGCAGGAAAAGTTACTAGAATTTTAATTTTTGTGACTTGAAAAACTTTTTCTTTTCTATGTTGACTCAAGAAGTTCTCATTGATCATAGGAACCAACAGGCTTCTGCGATTTACAGTTTCCTTTACTTTTAAATGGTTATTTGTTATGATGACACATCTCCTGTCCAGAGAAACAAGAATCTAGATACTCTCCTTGCCAGATGCTTAATTTGTTAGCATCCATTTTGTACAATAATAATAATTAAAATAAGAAATAGACCCACAGAAATTCTACAGGAAGTTAAACTGCAAAATGTTGGAAGCAACATACTTACCAAAGTATCTAATCTTTTGTTCATGCTTCTGTGTAAATGATTTAGATATATCTTCATCTTCTACTTCTTTTCTTTTATATTGACTAATAAAACTCTAAAGATGAGAAAAAGCTATCATAGAATCTCCACATATAACTTTTTTGAACTATAGGATTATTTTAATTCATTACTATTTAAAGGGTAATGTTCTAGTTTTAAGCATAGCTCAGCAAACACATATGTATAAACTTAATGTACCCAAGATGGTTATTTACCAAAACACAGCTCGTCTAATAATAGGGTGAAAAATACCTTATATTCTTCTTCTGAGCAATAATCTATTTCAAAGTTCTACGCACTAGTAGAAACTTAGTGATCTATAAACAATGACAAACATCTATACCTTCTAGCCCTGATGAAGCTTAGTGGAATTATGAAAAATGATGCATTAACTGTTCATATTCAAGTTAAGTGCTGAAAACAAAACTAGCATTTACTATGAAGACAGTTTGTGCTAAAATATTCTTTATTAAGAAATTAATGTTATTAGAGGCAAACTGTGCATGTTTCAAATGTGAGAATTTGGCATAACACAGAAGCAAACTTCATGTGAAGAACTATTGTTCATCCTTGGTTTTGGTAACAGGACAAATATAAGTTTTGTTTCCCAATTAAAGGAGAAATGTCATACATATTTGTGATAACAATGCAACATGTCCCCTTTAATAGGGCAAAATAAGAAAGAAAAACATTTAACACATTAAAATAGCCACTATATTAAATATAGAAAACACTCAAGATGAGAAATGCAATAAAAAAGGCTTAAAATTGTTGTCATTACACATTTATACATGCCATACCTTATTAAATACCTCCTTACTAAAAGGATCTGTATTCCATAGATTCTGTCTTTCCCTCTCTATTAACGCTGCTTCTTTTCTTCTCCACTCTTCCTCTCTCTGTCTCAGTTCTGAAGCTTCAGTCTGTGCTTTGGCACATTCCTGATCCATGGATTCTGAATTATGCAGTGCTAAACTACCAAGTTTCTGCTGGGCTTCTGCTAGATTCCATTTGGATTCTACAGAGCTCTTCACAAACTCTTTTTGTTTTTGACAGATTAATTCAATTCCTGGACCATAGGTCTGTGTGGAAAACAAAGTATGCTGTTTATGGAAGGAAAACTGATAGAATTTATTAAGCATATAGAAACAGAAAGCTTTGACTCCTAAATAAAACACTGAGATGGAAGGCATCTTAAAAGCAATATTATATTCACAACAGTGACCAAACATGATACTGTGCAGCTAGATGATTTTTAAAGGAAAATTTCATACTTCCATACCTTCCAGCATGGATTAATATTACTGTGGTGGGTTGACCTTGGCTGGCTGCTAGGTGCCCACCAAGCCGCTCTCTCACTACCCCTCCTCAGCAGGACAGGGGAAGAAACTAAGATGAAAAAAAGCTCGTGGGTCAAGATAAAGACAGGAAGATCACTCACCAGTTATCATCATTGGCAAAACAGACTCGACTTGGAGAAGATTAATTTAATTTATTGCCAATTAAAAATAGAATACGATGGTGAGAAACAAAGATAAAACTGAAAATATGTTCCCCTCTCCCTTCCCAAGCTCAACTTCACTCCATTGTTCCTGACTCTTCAGTCTCCTCCTCCCTGTCTTGAGCTGCGCTGGGAGGATGGGGAATAGGGGTTGTGGTCAGTTTTTAACAGTTCCTCTCTTGTGCTCCTTCCTCCTCACATTTTTCCCCTGCTCCAGTGTGGGGTCCTTCCCACAGACTGCATTTCTTCAAGAACTACTCCAGTAAGGTTCTGTTACATGGGCTACAGTCCTTCAGGAAAAGACTGCTCAAACCTGGGTCCCCTGTGAGCTGCAGCTCCTGCCAGGATCCTGCTTCAGCGTGAGCTCTCTGCCAGCTGCATCTTCCTTCAGGGCACCTCCACCTGCTCCAGTAGGGTGTCCTCTATGGGCTGCAGCGTGGATATCTGCTTCAGCATGATCCTCTCCACAAGCTGCAGGAGATACCTTCTCTGGCATGTGGTCCTCTCCATGGTTTGCTGGGGGACAACCTGCTTCATCATGGTCTTCTCCATGGGCTGCAGGGGAATCTCTGCTCTGGTGCCTGAAGCACCTCTTCCTCCTCTTTCTTCTCTGACTTTGATGTCTTAAAGGTTGTTTCTCTCACATTTTTTAGTCACTCCTCTCTCTCACAACTGCTATACAGTATTTTTTTGCCCTTTCTTTAATATGTTTTCTCAGAAGTGCCACCAACTTCGCTGGTTACTCAGCTTTGGCCAGTGGTGGGTCCATTTTGGAGCTGCCTGGAAACAGCTCTGTCCAACATGAGGGCAGCCCCCGGTCTCTTTTCAAAGAGGTCACTCTTGCAGCGCCCCTGCTACCCAAACCTTGCCACATAAACCCCATACAATTACTCCTAGCATGTCCTAGCATCTTTCAGCAGGGAGTTGGACTTGAGACCTCCAAACATGCCTTCCAACCTAGTTTGTCCAATGACTATAATTTAGTTATTTAGAAGAGATTCCTCACCTACAGAGAAATCCACTGTATCAGTGTTTATTTTTCAATCATAAGAACTCCTACACTCCAGCTCTTTTAAAATGCTCAACTGTTACTGTGGGTGTATTAGGTATAAATTGCAGGGTTTCAGTAGCAGTGGGTTGCAGGGGTGACCTATATGGGAGGAGGCCATGAACTGCCTCATGCCAGTCACAACCAGTTCCAGCCAGCTCTGAAACTGATGTAAACAACCCATTGCATGCCACAACTTCAACCAGTCAGAGAAGCGCATGGCATCTCTGCTCAAGCATATTTAAGAGATGAGCAGCAGCTGCTGGAGGAAAAAAAATGGATGGGATACATGGAAAAAGACATTGCTAGGGACATAGTTGGAGATGCACCCTTGGAAGGAGGTGCTCCATGCCAGAGCAGGCACATCCCCAAAGGGACAGCAGCCTGTGGAAGGACCCAGAGTAAGAAGCAAAGAACAGTAGAAAGAAACTATTACACAACAAGTCCAACCTTCTGTGCCATCTGTCACTGCATTGAATAAATTGTTAAGGACTGAAGGTAACTTGACAAAAACAACAGAAGTTGAGACTTGGAAGAAGGGAGGAGAGGCGTTTGACTGAAGCTGAGTCTGGGGAAGGGAGAGGAAAAAGTGTTTCCCTAAGTGTTTGATGATTTATGTTTTCTTCCTTCAATATTGAATCTGTAATTAAGTTTGTGTCCATTTGCAATAAATTATATGAAGTAAAATTCCCCGACTCGAGACTTTTTTGCCTATGAAAGTATTGGTGGGGAATACAAGCAGCACTCAGACCTGGCACAGCCTGGGATTGGAATAATTGGAGTGGACTTTGAAAGTTATGGTGTTTAAGCAGACCTATGGAAATGGGAGCCTTGCTCCCCAGAGTGTGAGCACTCAGCAGTCCTTTACTGAGAGTGAAATTATAGAAATGCAGGACACCAACAGCTGTCATCCCAGGGAGATGTCCCTGAAGTGGTTATGATGGTGCTGAGAAACCAGAGCTGCTGGGATACAGCCAATAGGCTCAAGTGAGCAGAGCTCTGAGGAGTTTGGGGCCTATGCCACTTGCAAACACAGCCCTGTGCAAAGGAGGGCTTTGAGATCACCTGATGGAAGGATATGCTGAACAGTGGCCTAATCCTACAAATGAACGGGCCTCCCATGGAGGGCCTGGGAAGAAGGGAGTAATCAATTGCAGTCGCTTGGGCTGCTGGAGTGTATTTACAGGTGAGAAGGAAGGGACCTTGAAAAAGTAGTCATCACTGACATCATGGCCAAAAAGCTCTGATGGCTAGACACAGTTACTAACAACCCTCTGATATCACCCAATAATCTAGTGGGATGCCTTGTTGATCAAAGAGTGACCTATATGTACCATACTAGAGGGAGCATGCCATAAGAATGGTGCAAGATTAGCAGCACAGCAAAGGATAATACTGAGGATCTGGTATTATGGTTAACCTCAGGAAAAAACATCAGGAAAGTATGGGAATTCTGCATACCTTTCTCCTACATGCTGGGACTTACAGATGTCCTTTTCCTTTTCTTTCAACAACATAACAGAGCAGGATGGAAGGCCCTTTAGAGATCCAGCACTGCAAGCTAAGGAACTGCAAGAACAGGGGAGAGGTTCTGTTAAACCACTGCCTTTTCCTACCTCCATCTCTGGACCACATACCATTCTAACAACTGATTTGAATTTACTGCATGGTGCTCGCCTGGCAGGGGATGGGGATTACTGAATTTACTGGACTATCTCGGTAGGGTGGCCAAGCACCCCTTTGCCTCAGCAATGTGGTGCCCTAATGGATACTGGCACTGAGTGCACCTTATTGCCCTCATTGTGTAGCAATGAAGTGTAGTCATTCATGGAACAACTGGAGAAGAGACATGCCTAGCTCTAGTGGAAGGGAGAGCCTCAGTTTGAATAGACAGGATTGGTACCCCCTACCTGCTGTCACTGGCCCTAATGCCCTGCCATCCTCAGGATTGACTTTCTTAACCACTGCAGATAGACAGATAGGACAGGAAAGCTTTGGGGTTTTGGAATAGGAAGAAGTGTGGTTTGCACAGGAGGGAACCAACTACAGCACTGTCTACTGACTCCAATGTTGTTACATGTACTCAGATATATCCAGCCGTCATTCCCTTGGCAACTCAAGTAATTTGCTGAAAGCAGCAGTAATTTGCTGTATGTAGAGTTTATAATGTATGTATATAAAGACTGTGATGATGTTGAAAGTAGAGTTTATAACAGATGTATGTACAAACAGTTCTTAAATATGTGTTTCACAGAGGTAAATGTATTTGGCATAATAAGTAAAGGGTTTTGGTAGCAGGCAGCTGCAGGGGTGACCTGTGCAGGAAGAGGCCACATACTCCTATGTGCCAACCATAGCCAGTTCCAGGCAGCTTTGAAAATGATGTAAACAATCCATTGCATGCCAAAACCTGGTGACTCTGCTCAAACATATCTAAGAAAGAGTAGCAGCAAGTACTCTCTGCAGTAGCAGAGAGAAATGGAAGGAAATTATGTAGGTGCCAGCTGGAGATGCAATCTTGAAAAGAATTGCTCCACACCAGAGCAGCTACATCCCTAAGGGACTCCATCCTGTGGTTAGCCCATGCTGAAGCAGGCACACTCGCAAAGGGCCTGCAACCCATGGAGGAATCCACACTAGAGCAGAGGAAAATGAGTAAGAAGCAAGGAATAGTGAAAGAAAATGAGTAAGCAACAAGGAGCTGCAGAAAGAAACCATTATGCAGATGACCCCAACCTCCCTTGTGCCACCTCTCCCCAGATCATAATCCAGAAAAAACAAGGGAAATTTAGACTAGAAAGCAGGGAGGTGCTTGAAGTTGAACCTGGGGAGGAAGGAGAAAAGGCATTTCCCTGTTTAACTGAGTTTGTATCAGTTGAGAATAAATTAAATGAAATAATTTTCCCCGAGTTGAGACTGTTTTGCCTGTGACAGTGGACTGGTGGCAAATTCCAATATTGCTTATAGCATAACTATGCAAGTCCTTTCTGACATGTTCAAGGATAGCTAAACAGATCACGGATAAGCATGCACTTATACATGCCTGTTTACACCTCCACCCCCAATACACCAGACTCAGTGATTATTTAAGAAAAAAAAGTTTAATCACTTCTCAGACTCACA